ACACCAGGTCTCTGAAACGGGCATCGGTACCTCCCTAGGTCATGGCACGTCGCGCCTGGCTCGGTTTGGTTTGGCGCCGGGCCGTTCTGCTGCTTCCCCAGTGGGGTAACAGGGGCTTAGCGAGGGCACAAAGATCCTCGCTGCAACCCTCTGGAAGCTGACCCCCCTATCCGAAAAGATTTAACAGCAACTTTTTTGGCGTCTGTAGCGAGAAAATGCTCAAAATGAGTCCACTGGCATTACCCTGCAGTGGGAACAACAAAGGTGACACATTTCCTACTTTCTTACTTCTAGTCCTGTCAGGATTAGCAACCTTTAACCGTTGTTATCGGTTTGACCCCGGCAATAAGTTGTGCAAATGAACACGTTCCATCCCTTTCTGACTCATCCCCATCCAACCTTCGCGTTTGCTTCCGACGCTCAGGGCAGATTGCTTTGTCTTTCTTCCATCGACACCGCGTCTGTTGGAGTAGTTTGTAAAGGAGTGGCCCTTTGCAGGGCTTTATCTCTGCCTGCCTTGCTGGGAGAGCAGGGGAGGGGCAGGTTGACTATCAGGGCATCGGCTTTAATTTTAAAATTTCCCTTTTCCTCACACACTTTGCCCATCTTTTCAGCAGTAGCATTCCAGGTAACGTTAATGGTCTCAGCCACCTTTCATTTTCATCTGTAGTTTCTGTTCCTCATGCTCAGGCGTGCACCTTGCTGCTGCACCGTGCTGCTGCGTACTTCCCCATTGAAAGAAAAAACTGAGGTGGTTAAAATCTCATTTGCTTTTGAAACACTTCCTTGACTCGCTCTTGATGATCTGATTATGCCTATCACAGAAAAGATCTGTGATACTCAATCTGTGGCTTAAAAACCTCCTTAGGACACGGAAGTGCCTACAGGGCAGGATCAATTTTTAAGAAAATGGTAGCTGTGTTGAAAAGAGAGGCCATTGCCACTGTGTAATCAGCTGGCAAAGGACCTTGTGAAAAAACAAGGAGGTTGAGTGTATTTTCTTTCTCACTGTTGAAAACAGTAGGATGGGATGAGGTGTGTTAATTTATTTCAGGACCTTCCAGCTGGCAAATGGCAAGGCAGGTCCATCAGTTCTGTCCTGCCTCCCGGGGATTTGAGGTGCCTCCTTCTGCGCCTGGGCTTGCCCAGACGCTGCGTGTTCGGAGCCCCGCGAGCTGGCAGCGACACGGTGCCGTCAGTGCGCGCAGCGTGTTGCACAGCACACAGCCTGCGTGCGGTGTAGACGGTCTGCCCACACCGGAGTGTGAAAAAGGACGTGATTGCACTGAAAAGCTTTGAACAGGAAGATGAAGGCAAACGATAAGAATTCAGGGAGGATGTTGACAGAGCTAAGAAAGAGAATTTAGTGAGGAAAAAATTTACGAAACAGTTTTAAGTGTGAGTTTCTCGGGGGTTTATGTTTATGAAAGTAAGAGGACCAGAGCTGTAGTTTTCTGACAGAGCCCAAACCAGCTCTAATCCCCACGCTGCTGGGATGTACTGGCCTGCAGCTGCGTTCACAGTAAGAAGCTGTGCCTCACCAGAAATCTCAGGGTGCAACTGGAGCTTCCACACAGCTCTTGACGCCTGACCACATGAAAACCAGCATCATTTGTGTCCAGGCCTTGGCTTCGGGCTGAGTGACAGGTCGCAGAGGTGCCCCGCCTGGGCTGACAGGGCTTGCTCTGGAGCAGACGAGCTGCCTGCGTGGACACGTTGAGCGTGTAATAAGGGCAGCATCCGGGGGGAGGTTGGGAATCGCTGATCTGCTTTCCCGAGCTCCCCTTCAATCGATCTGCGCAGGCACGCGAGTGCTCCCGGCAGGCGGAGGATCTGCGTTGCCCGTGAGCCTCGCCCCAGCCGGGCTCAGACCCGCCGCATCCCCCCGGTGCCCCAGCGCCGCGCCTGACCCGTGCCCCAGCGTTGCAGACATCCACGCCAGCGCACGGACAGGGGGGCAGCGCGGGGCGCCTCCTCTCCAACGACTTCCCCCGTGTGTGAAAACAGCAGCTACTGGTGTGGAGAGAAGACAGGGGTTGGGGGGTGTCTGGTTAAATGCAGGGTGCTTCAGCACCCATCCTGCCACGTATTTCACGTAGCACCAGCACCACGTGGGGGTGCCCGTCCGCAGTGAAACGGGATCGGCTCCGTGTCCGTCCGCTTCCCTCGGTGAAAGCAGTGATCTGAGGCACCGGGTTCAGGTGCATTCAAACAGTCCCATCCAGTTGGTTTTATTTGAAAGTGTCTTGCTTCAAGTTAAATCTTTGTGTAAATCTGTAAATCAAAAAGTCTTAAACACCTCTTTTCCTGCATTTCTACCGTCCTACACGCTTCACTCCTTAAACCACTTGGAACAGAGGAAGGACATACTGTGCAGGCCAACAGCCATCCAACCCCGTGTCCAGTCAGCAGCAATGACTAACAGAAGGTGCTAAGCAGGAAAACAAATACTATAGAGTAAGAGGTGTAGAAGTACCTCACATCTTGATTATTTTCCTTTCTATCTCAAAAATTTAGGAAGAAAATGAAGCTAATGGTGGAACTTCACCAGAAGGATGACCTTGGGCTCCCCATGAGGTGAAATATTTTTGATGCCCTTGTTCTCAGGTATGCAGCATATTGGTTTGTTTGTTTGTTTTCAGGCAAAAATCCGTTAGCTCAGAAATAAAATTACCATTCAAATGCTAAAGGAAAAGTAAAATCTAAGCATCAGACTGACTGCTCGAAGTTTTGAATTACATGCCCAGGCACGCAATGCCATGCAAAATACGCATTTCTCTTTCAAATTCCCAATTTACTCATACAAGAGATGGGATTGTGATGTATTATTCATTCATTACCATTTTTACCGCATTTCAGTCTTAAAATAAAAGTCAACATTAGAGGGTAAATGTTATACTTAGCTCAAAAATGAAAGCTTAAGGATAAGAAAGCAGCGACTTTAATTCTATCACCCTCTTCTTATTCACTGCATCTCCTGTTGGACACCCTCACCTGCTACCTAACACCTTCCTACAAGCAGCTGAACCTTTAATTTTCCAAGGATGTAATTGCACATTCTTTCAAGGGTTATCAGTTGGAGTTGGCTTTTGCTACCCCCAGGAGAATGCCAGAGCTGATTTTTTCTTGCCTGAACCACTAATATTCTAGGCTGAAAAGCAGCACAAACACAAGTCACCAGTTTCTGGTAAATGAGCAGTTCTCGTTACGTGTTGTTATGCATGATGTGATCAATCTGTCAGCCTGGCTCTCCCCAAGCTCTCCTAGCCGTGTGTGCCGGCAAAGGACAGCAAAAAGAGATGACCAAGGTCTGCCTGGGACCAAATACCTCCTGTGTGCAGTGAGTCCACGTCAGAGGAGCGCTGAGGTCTCCGAAGTGAGGTGCAAAGGAGTTGATCAGCTCTGATCTCTTGCAAGATTCACCCACTTTTGTTTCAACTGCTTTTTTTCTCCCATGAGACTTTCTGTCCTTGGTGGTTCCTCTCTCTTTCTTCCTTTTTCTTCTTTCGTTCAGTCTCTCACTCTCTAGGCAGTGCCTGCCTCCTAAAACCTCTCAGTGCTGCCCTCCTTCCTGTTTTGTCTCAACATTATTTTGCTTTTCTCACATACTGCTTGATCTTTGCCTGGATCCCCTTGGATCTTTACTCTTTATTAGCTGCTCTTCTCCTTTGTCCTGTTTCACAGCCCATTTACAGTCTCCAGTTTCAACTACGCTTAAACCCTTTCTGTACTCCTCTCCCCAGTGTGAATGTAAGGGAATGCCATCAGGAAAACGGCATAAAACATGGGGCCAAGTCCAGCCTAGAGAAGAGAAGGCTCAGGTGGGATCCCACCTCCCTGCCTGAAGGGAGGGTGCAAAGAGGACGGAGCCAGGCTCTTGGCAGTGGGGCCTGGTGACAGGACCAGAGGCCGTGGGCACAAACTGCACCACGGAGGGTTCCCCTGAACATCAGGAAAGACGTTTGCACTGTGGGGATGACTGGGCACAGGCTGCCTGGAGAGGCTGTAGTATCTCCATCCTTGGGAGATACTCAAAAGCCGTCCTGGGTGGCCCTGCTTGAGCAGGGGCTTGGGCAAGGTGACCTCCAGAGGTCCCTTCCCACCTCAGCCCTTCTGGGATTCTGAAATCAGCTCAGTTTATTGTTGTACTTGAAGCCATTCAAAAATTACTTCCCTCCAGCAGCAAGAGCAGAGGGGAGTCATGGTTCTTTCTGCCTGAGCTCCCCTGAGGTGACCCAGCTGCTCATTGTCGCTCTTGGAGAACTGGAGGCAGAGACCCAGATGGGGCTGGGACCTACGGCACTGGATGGGGCGAGCACAGCGTTGGCCATTTCGCTCCGCTGCAAATGGACCTTTGCCTCCCCCCTGTAAAAGCACGGTGGCTGCCGTGCTGCCACCAGGGATAAGGAGCCCTTGAGGCTGAAAGTGGTGGCCGGTAGCAGTCAGCTCGTGCTCACAGAGAGTGGTGCTATAACAGACGTCCAGTCACACAGCTTGACAGGTAGTAAACGAGTGCAGATACTAAAGTAATTTTAGGTCATTTCCTCCATGTCTGCCCCGTTGATTGTTAATGGAAGTTGGAGGCTCCCCAAGAGCCACTATCCATTGAACTGTCACTACTGGGACACGTTCTCTGTCAGCCTCACTCATTCTAACATGCTGTTATGACACAAGGGCAAGAAGAAAATAGAGTCAGTTATTCACAGTGACCCACTTGACCTTATTCTGGCAGCAACAGATGCTGAGACATGTAGTAAAGTGACACGATTGGCTTCGTTTCTCAGGATCTTGAAGAATTTCAGAATTAACATTTCGAGGTGTTATTTCTTCTTATTTGTGATTGCTTTTGTGCCGTGAAGTCAAATGTTCACTTTGGGTTTGGAGGGCAGTATCAGATTGCTGTACTTGAAGCAGCTTGCCTCAAGAAAAACAAAACCTTCGTGAAATCTCAGTAAACCTTTGTATTTGCTTCCTCACAGTGTTCCGAGTTCGACGTCGGCACTGAAATGTGGTGGTTTCAGCAAGGCCTCTCTTTCTTGCCTGTGGCTTTAGTTGTTTGGTCAGCTGCATCTTTTGTGTTTTCATACATCACGGCAATCGTCCTACACCACGTCGACCCCTTGGTGCCCTACATCAGGTCAGTAACGGCCGTGCCACGGCCCTGCTCACCTACCGTAGCATCGCACTGGCCTCGCGCTCCGGTGAATTCTTCCCCAACGCCAACTTCAAGCAGCAGTTCTTCCCTAACAGCTCCAGCTTGAAAGGCACTGGCCGGGTGGAGCTGTTTGTGTGTAACCCCGCTGAAAGCTGTCTCTGTGCAAAAGCCTGGCCTGTCAGCTGTGGCTGTGCGAACGTGTCCTTAAAACGCCGCTGAACCGGCAAGCTGGGGGGGCATCTCCAACCCTCAGCTCAGAGTAAAGCGTCTTGCTGTCACCAGGTTTGGTGGCTCCAGTAAATCCATACAATAATCCATATCCCCAGCTGCATTGCATCAGGGCTATGCTCATGGCCTAGTTTTGGTCTTTCGGTTTTCCAAGTTCTTCGTTTTTCCAGTTTTAACACTCTTTATTCACCTTTTGTGGAATCAAGGTCAATATAAAAGAAATAGTTATACCAAGTATGTTCATTCCTTGTTCTGAGGACAGCATGTCTTTATCATATGGTTTTCTACAACTCTAAAACTAGCACAGAGTGGTCTGAATAATGAGAAATTCAGCGAGAAATACCTGGGAGGCTTTTTACAAATCTGTTTCTTATGGTTCCTTTGTAGACTGAAATAAGTAAAGTTGTGTTGCAAGTATTTTTAGTATAGATAGATACGTATCACCCCATTTGTCTCTTCCAGTGATACAGGGACAATACCTCCTGAAAGATGCTTATTTGGGATCATGTTAAATATTTCGGCTTTCTTGGGTGAGTATAGAAAGCTGTCCTTGGTGAACTGCAGGCAGGTCTGGAATGCACACAGTTTTAAGCAATTTAATGTCCTTATTCACATCATTAGGCAGCCCGTAATTCTCAGTAAAAACCTAAATTCTAAGCAATCAATCTTAATGTTCTTAAGCAATTCAGAGGAAGGGGCATGGCAGGAATGTTACCCACAAAGCCAGCATGACAACTGCAGATTTCAGAAGGCCAAAACTGTGTTTTAAAACCCCCAGTGCGTTAGTAAAAGAAATAGAAATGCAAATTCAAGGCAGTCACCTTACTTATGCTGTGATTATGAGAGGGGGGGAAAACAACCTAGTATGTCTTTCAAATGAAAGAGATTGGAAAAATCCAGTGAGCCGGCTTGGTTACCGTTATATTATTCCAGTTTGGACTTCCAGGTTCTCAGCTTTCCTATTTCAGTGTACCATAAGACAGCTTTTGTATTTTAAATCGTTGCCTCTGTTGCTCAGCACCTTCCCAGTTAAAAAAGGACAATCTGCTCATCAGCTGAAAACCTGACTGCGTTTGGGTTCTTCGTTAACAGGTGTGGCTACCATGTACGTCCGTTATAAGCAAGTTTATGCTTTGAATCCAGAAAAATCCAAGATCATCAAGCTTAATAAGATTGGCCTCACACTAGGATTGATGAGCTGTTTTGGACTTTGCATTATCGCAAATTTCCAGGTTTGTGCTTTGCTTGCAACATCCTGGGGCTGTCCAGAGTTGTGTGTGTGTTTGTTAACTGAGAGAGCTGATAAAATGGGGGTTTTTACTGAAAGCAAACCTATTTTTGTCAAATTCCCTACAGAAAACAATTCAAAAAATAAGTTTCTGTTTAGAATTTCTTACTCATGATTTGCTCTGTCCACTGGGAGTTGTGAGCAGCCCTTCAGGAAATTCCAAAACACAAGAAACACGCTAAGTTTTGCAGAAAGCAAACTCACCTTGGATCTCCTTATAGGAGATTTGAAAGCCCTAGCTCCAGATTGAAAGGCCACAACTATATTGGATTTTGACTCAGGAGAACCAGGTACAAATGGTCGAACATTGTTACAACCAGCGGTAAAGCCGACGAGAACACCCAACCCCACAAGAAGTCCAGCTCTCAGAAATCTGCCGTCTTAGGTATATTTTCCTTCAAACCTGTGCAATTCTTGCAAATACTGCAGCGTTAACCAGCTTTTGAATTTCACCATCCCAGCGTCTCTGTTTTTTTCCCTCCCCAATACTTCCCACCCCTCAAAAAAAACACCTCAACAAGGGATATTCTCACATACCACACCATCAGCAGGGCCACATTCTACATGGTTGGCTGTTAACTGCAAGGCAGTTGTGCCTTTGCCAGCCTCATCGTCTTAATTACCTGCTGGATTTTGGGGGCTCAGTAGCAGTGCCTTTAGCCACTGGGAGCTGCAGTGTCACCGTGCTCTCCTGCTGGATTAGGGCCAGGGCAAAGCAAAGAGGAAAAGCTCCTGGAAAGCTCCATCTTTTTCCCTTCTCCTTTTCCCCTAGCACAGCTCTCCAAGTGCTTCAGCAGCCCATGTCTTAGAAACCTCATTTATTTGGGATTTTTTGGAGGCCTTGATTCATTTACTTTTTTCTAGAGCCCCACCTATACCCAGAGGTCACAGCCTCCCCCCCACCACAACCACAAAGCAAAAGCCTCCAGGCTGTGTTCGACTCCATGATTTCCCTCCAGCCCTGGTCAGGAGAGGGTATGTCTGCTTTCTGTAGATTTCAAGATAATCAAAATACAGTCGGGGCACGTTAATTTGTTAACTAGTTTGTGTAACGTTTAATCTTGAGCAAGACAAAACTGGGAAGCGATGTACCTGCATATCCAAGTGATGCTGAGGACTTGTCGAAGGCCACCCCAGAGGCAAAAGGAGCTAAAGCCCCCTGGGATCCACTAGTTACTGAAGACAACCGAGGTGTGAAAGTACACGGAGATGAACAAAGGGATCACGGGAACAGCCGGCACGCAGAGAGCTCCGGCAGCTCTCTCTGCTGGGAGTCAAAGCAATAGCACAGGGCTCGTCACAGGAGGGTTAAGTCAGGCTGTTCAGCCCGTGCTGGTGCTTTATTCTAGCTGTGGCTGTTGATTTCCTCTCATACAGGGCAAAGGTTTCTCTGGTGGCACCTCATCATGGACAGCCCTCGGAGCACACACCTTTGCCACGTGGTTATTCGCTCTTTAAATGGAAATTCCCCCTCCTGTGACACTGCAGACACAGCACTTCCAGTTCCTCTGTGCATACAAGGTGCCCACGGAGGTTGTGAGGAGGAGGTGACTCCAATTCCTGATCTTAATAGTTCCTCAAACACACAGACAGTCTCGTGCTTTAGGGCGTAAAAGGTCACCCGCAGGACTGGGGTGCCGCGAGGCTGCTGGGCCTTGCACTGCGCGATTGGCAAGAGAAGAGGTTTTGGTTCCTGGCTTTGGGTACCTGCTTAGCCAGGGATGAGAGGAAAGGACTGAAGACAACGTGATTTTTCAGGGCATAAATTTTAATTTGGGTTGTTTTTCTCGGAATAACTTCTGGTTTTAATGATTTTTACTCTTTGGCAGTTGATTCTCCTATAGTGTTTTTTAAGTTCAGAAGTATTACTGCTTGATTCAACCTTGTTCCCTCGGAGTATTCAAAGATCCCAATTTGACGAACAAGGCTTACTCAAACTAAAGTCACAGAAGCGCTTAACCTCGTTAATTTTAATCCCTTTTTGGGTGTTAGAACTGTGTTGTGTTTATCCCGTATTGTGTTATTGTTCATAGACGTGCAGATTCCTGGGACAGAATGCTCAGTAGACAGCCTGTTGTCACTCATTACCTGCCCAGCTGCAGGGCTTCCTTCATCCAGTTTCTGTATTACTGTCCGTTATGGCTAATGAGAACAGCTCTTCCAAATTCCTGTAGCTGAGCTATAGCTGTGACCTCCAACTTAGCCACAAGAACTTAACCAAAGCAGCAGTACCGAGGGGCCGTGGGGCTTCCAAGAAGAGTCTCCAAAGTACTGGCACGTTCCAGAACTGCTCAGTTTGGGATGCGAGAAGGTCATGGTGTGGGCGGAGTGCTAAAGGTTCACAGAAAAAATTGTTCCCAGGGTCTAAAATGAAA